TGGAAAGACTGTCCAGAGGAACCTAGTGCAGTTTATTTAGAGGTTGTTCATATGGTTTAAAAAACTGAAATTAAATGAGTATGGGGAACAGTCACTTATACTTGGATTTAACACATCCCTGTACCTGTGAGTGTAAAGTCTGAGTTGTCCAAAATAATTCTTTTCCTTTTTTTGGCAAAAGCTTTTCCTTTTATATACTTCTCTCATAGCATATTTGTAAATTCTTAGGGAAAAATCTCAAGTGAAGTTAACTAATGGTTTAGAGGAGTCAGTGTGTTCTAATTTCCTATACAGGAGTCACTTTAACTAACTAGGTTAACTTCCATTCTATAAAGGAAACTGAGATGAAATGGTGTTTTGACTTTTTTGAGATTTTTTTTTTTAAGTTCCCTCTGTGTCCACTGCAGGCTTGGTTTCTAATTTTCACTTTACTGATCATTTTTTAAAAGTAATATCAGATTAAAATGTCTCATTACTTAGACATTTTTACCATTTCTCAATTTTATGGGTAAACACAGGTGAAACAGACAAGATTGGTGTTAATTTCGCACACCAGCCAAGGTGCCAGATTTTCTGATTTACTATAGATAAATGGATGCTTTTCAAGGATGTGGCCTTGCCATTTTGATTGGATGTCGTGCCTTATAAATAAGTATGACTAGACCTAGTCATTATTTAGATTAAAGACAAACCAAAGAAATAAACAGATTGTTTCAGGAAGTTGACTTTGGCCATTCATGAGAGAACACTTCTCCATTTCTTTGCTGAACCAATAAAACAGCATGATGATACTGTATTTAGAGGTGCCTTACCTTTAAATTATTTCTCCAGAAATTAAGTATTATTAGCCATTCCTTGGATATATTCTGCCTTGCATAGTTACATTTTACTTAATGTTCTTCATTTTCAAATGGTTACTGCTTAGGCTTCTTTTTTTACAATACTTCTTGAGACTTTTTGTGTAAAAACGGTATATAAGGACTTGAGGATGATATCAGACTTGGATGTTTTGTAGCAAGATTTATGTTATTAATAAACTTGGTTTCACGATTTTATGTTGCCATTTTCAGTGGTAATATTAAGCTAAACAGTTAGAATTTGTTTGACTGTATTAAGGAATAGTGAGGAAAAATTATTTCATGTGGCCATACTTAGCTATTTCCCATGCATGAGGCGTTTCGCATTAGCTTCTGGAATTATCTATAAGCAAGGGGAATGAAGCATACGCTCTGACTTGTATCTAACCAACCGTTCTTCTGTCAAGAAGAATGCTGTAGTATTATCTCTTGATAATATTTATTTCAGGGAATTGCAGGGAAATGTTCAAAAGACTGTGTAACTGATTCTTATTAGAACGTGATCCTATGTTCAGCAAACATTGTTGACGGAGGCATACAGTATATGAATTAATCCTTGCCATAGCATCTTTTGAAATGGGATGGAAGGTTACATGCTCATTACAATGACATGATTTGTGAGAGCAAATGCATTTTTTTTTAAAAAAGTAAAATCAACTTCCTACTGCCTTGGGATGGAAATCCAAAGACGTAAGTGTTTATCACTCTGCTTGGCTTATTTTGCTAGTAAATCCCTTTTCTTATAATTAAAGGGGCTTGAATGTTTCTAACTGATGCCAAATCCAATCTGAACCACCTACACAATTCTTTCCTATCCCCACTTCCCACCACTATCTGGTATTTTGTTTGCACAGACATTATTCATTAATTGTTTTAATGACCAGGGAATGCAAACAGGGAAATCATATTAACAAGTAAGAGCTCCTACACTTGGTGATGAAATCTGTATTTTTTTTCCCATTCTCTTTTTCATGGTCTTTTCACACACAAGCCAAAAATCTCTCATGGCTATCTGAGGCAAACAGTTTTATTTGTGCATAAGTACTAACATGTGATATTTTATTCCATAAAAATATTTTTAATTCTTGCCATTGCCGCAACTGAAATTAAGCTAGTTATAATTTGTGTGTAGGAAGCTACTGAGCTCATCCATTACAATTGGAAAGGCAAAATAAAACTTCTTGGCACTATGATTTTATAATAATAATAATAATAAAGACAGTCAAGTATATTGTTTCTTCTCTTTGCCTTATTCTACTCACAAGGTTTTTCTGCAGTTTTATGTTTTGGCTGTCTGTGTCCTTTTGTCCAGAAGTTTTGCCCTATTCTTATGCGACTGTCATTGTATCACCTGGTATGTGGTAATGTGAGTAGGCCATAAGGCCCACTCTAGGACTGTATAAGAATTAGGTCCCTGGCAAAACTCCCATTGACTGAAATGGCACAAAATTGGGCCCTAAATAAAGTTGTTGTTGGGGTTTTTTTGTACCTTCCCTCTTTCCATTGTTTGGTCAGTTGTAATCCCAAATTTTAATAATAACCATGCCTCATTCTTACTTAGTGCTTTTTACCAGTAGACCTGAAAGCATGTTTAAAAACAGAACGGAGTATCATTATCGTCATTTTACAGATGAAGAAACAGAGGCTTAGCAAGGAGGAATGTGTTACTTGAGCAGCCCAGCAGCACATATGTAAATAGAACTTAGTTCTATGAATTGGCCTAGTCCTCTAATCATGTACAACTCTGCTTCCCCCAGTTCCACCACCCTAAATAGATGGAAGCACAGCTCACTTTAACATGGGTCTCATATACTCTAAAGTAGTGTTTGTTGAGGGGGCGGGGGGGGAGGGTTTTTTTGTTTAAAGTATGCTGTGTTTAATGAAAAGAAAACCTAGAAGGATTGATTAAAATCCTGGCTCCATTACATATGGGACATTTGAAACATAATGTAGGACTTGCACAAAATACAACTCCATAAAGGTAAGATTGCAAATCAACTCCTCTGCCTTCTTTTATAATACATCCATGGTTTTCTGATTCCACTGAACCAGTCTGTAATGTAATTATATTATGAATCAGATAGGGTTTTAAATAAATCTTAAACTGAAAACCGCTTTTTGGGACTCACCATGGAAAAAATGGAATGGAATATCTCGTATCAGAAATATAAATTGAATTAATTACCGTAAGAAGCCCCTCTTCTTTTTGTCTGCTTTCCCTGTGCCCCATGTCCCCCAAAAAACTCATATGCAAAAAAATTTTTTAAAAATGTGGGAAAGAAAGCACAAAGAAAATGCAACAGTTACATCTGGTCTTGTAAGATTTAATAAACTGATCAGTTCCTTGCATAATCAAGCCACAAAGCAAATGATAAATGTTGGGCTCTGCTTGCAAACAAGAAGAAATAAAAATAAACTGGTGGAGATATCAAGTGAAAACTGAGGAGATGGCAATGTCTAGGGAAGCTAAATTGGTTGAAGGTGCAGAATGTCAGATTCAGGCAAGGGCAATCACCCAAAAAAAAATGGAATTGGATCCTTGTGAATATCAGAAGAAGTTGTGGCATGTTCTTTAATGCTTTGTCCCCCTCTTTAGATTTCATTTTCTGTGTTCTACTCTTTCAGGTTTCTAGAGTTTTATTTACTGATCCTGTATCTCTTATCTCTATCACTAATCTTTTGCAGCCAGTGGCTTCTTGGGTGTTGCTGTCCTGGACACTATTTTTGGGGTCTGCTTTCAAGTCATCCGTCTCATGCTTTCCCTATCCCGTTTTTTATTTTTCGTCATTGATCTTCTTCTCCTTTATTTTCTTTCTTTTTTCTGTCTTGTGGTCCTTCCATTTATTCCCTTTCATTCTAGCCCCTATGCAACTTTCGTTTTCAGGATACCTTTTGTTTTTTTTACTGATATCATTTGCCCATGATCCCTCTTCATGGTTGGAAAGCAGCTATGCTGGCTTGCATACCCTTAGGACCAGGCATACAGTGCCCCTGTTTGCCTTTGGACCTCCCGGCCTGCCTGCAGAAATGGTAGAATAGAGGAGGGAGCAGATGTGCTGCAGGGTTGACCTACGAGTGTTTACTGTCCGTAAGAAATCAAGGTGTGACGCAGTGGCCATCTCCCTCCCTCCCCCTTTGCACTCCGTATTAGTAGTAGTAACTGCACAGAGTTGTCTCTATGTGCAGTGTCTATAAGCCATATGTTTCCATATTCTAGCAAACTGGGGGAGGCCAGAGGTGGGGAGTGGGGGAGATGACACGGTGCACTGCTACAAGTTATTCACACAAATATTGGGTGAATAGTCTCTGATATTCCTGTACAATCTGGCTGTTGCTATAATGAAGGGCTGTCCAACTTCTAAGCAACTGAGGGCTGCACACCCCACTGGCCACTCCAGCTTGGGCCCCACCACTTGAAGTGGTTACAGTTACTCATTTCCCCTGCCCCCGCACCATGCACTTCAGCATCAGTTTTCCAGCTGTGGGCTCTCCTGCTGCAGGCTCCTCTCCTGTAGCATGCTTCTTGTGCAGCCTGCTCCAGGCCACTAGCTCTCCTGGCAGTACAGGCTACCCTCCCTCTGCCCCCTGGGATGGGAACATGCAGTGGAAACTGGAGGAGGAAGGGGAAGCCCTGGGGCCCCAGCTGCTGCAGCAGCTGGAGCTAAAGGGCAGGAGCAGCTGGGTGGGAGCTCATGGACCACCATGTGGACAGCCCTGCTAAATGAATCCTGTTTCAATTTTACACTCCCACCTTCCACATCCTTCAGAATCCTCTTTGTGCAGATAATTGAAGAATGAAAAGTTTCAGCCTGAAATGTATTTGGAAGGCGGTTGACTATGTGAAGCAGTGGATTGTAATGGATACTTACTGATAGCTGTCATGACTCCCATGATACTTGCGCCCATAGGGATGAGTTCTGCAGATCAAGTCCGGGGTGGCTTCAGCCGGATTAAGGCAGAATACATCTGCAGGATCAGCAAAGCTGGTATTTTTAGAAGCAGGAAAACAAACCCTAGCAAAAGTTGCATTTCTTTGTAATTGTAAGAGGAAATCCAACTTATAATTTAAGTTGAATTTACTGAGCTGTGAAGTTTGTACTGTAAGTGTGAAGCTGAATACTGATTTCCTTTTCTCCTTTCCAGTGAATTGTCTTGGGCAACAGAACAAAACAGCAGCCACTTCATCTAGATCAAGCAGTGGAAGGGGCAGGGTCTCTCCATGCAATAGTGGTGTCAAAAGAAATGGAGGCTTGAACCCAGGCCCATAGGATTTGCATAATTAATCACTGGTGAGTTATGTTTGAATGTGGTCTCATTTGTGTGAAGGCTGAAACCTTTAAACAATTTCTTTGAACCTGAGAGGTGGAAGGGTTACTGGACTCTGTTCCTTTGCCAGATAATTGACTGGTTGGTTTCAAAGAGAAGGAGAGTTGTCCAGGCTACCAGTTAATCCTAGGAAATCCTGACTGTACACACTCACAAAAATACTTTTTTTCCCCAAAACAAAAAACTTTCTGTTGAAGCCAAACTTGAAAGAAAAGACAGAAGCTGCAGCAGTTGGCAGATTGTGTAAAACAGCAACAGCTTACCTTTTTAATTGGATAGTTGTTTTATACCCTGAGTATAACGTTACATGGTCTGAGAGTACAAGCTGTGAGGCTCTGATAAGAAAAACACTGACTGGCTGCTGTCAAGCTGAGGATGATTAAATGTGTCAGGTCTCCCCCTGTCTTTGACAAGAAGACTAAATTCCCTAAAGCCCTTTATGTAACTGCCAGGAAAATGTTTTCCTTCACAACATTTTTCCCCCCTTTCTGTTTTTTTTCTTTAGGTCTTTCAATTGCATACGTGTGCATGTGTAAATCAACCCCATCTCAGGCAACCTTTTGAGGATGCTCTGTGACAAAACAGCCTAATGATGTAACCCTCCCAGTGTAGTCTCTGTTATCAGTTTAGTATCTGTTATAGCCTCTTTCCATGGATAATACCCAACACTCATTTGTAGATAGGCTCCAGTGGATTTCTCCCATCTGTAATTTACTTGGTAAATCAGCAGCAGCAGCAATCTGTTCTTTTTAGAAACTGATGACACTGCTGTTCCAGGAGACTGCACGTGTGGAACACTGCAGCACAGCTTGCAACACTCCTCTATATTTATAGTATTGTCCTGCCAAGCTCTCTGTGCTCTTCCCAACTGGTATTGCACAAGTGAATTGTTATTGGTGAGTGTGTAAGCGTGCTTTGGAAAGACTTTAACTTTTTTGTCATCTTATTGGGTTTACCCTTCAGTGTGCTTGCATCTGAAAGCATCTTTCACTAACTAGGGAGGACAGACCTTTATGTCTCTATGGAGTCCCACTGGTTTCAGTGCAGTTCAGCATCTGCTCATGGATGTTCCTGACATGATCATATTGCAAAACAGAGTCCTTAGGAACATGTAAAGTTAATGGTGCTCCTTTAAATATTCCTTCTAAGAAAATATTTGAGTGGATTGAATCTCCATGTAATTACAAACTGATTTGGAAGTTATACTTATCTGGAAAAATATAGCTATATGGAATCCTAGATTAGTACCAAATGGTAGAAAAAAATGAACTGGTAGAAGATAAAGATTTAATACCTAATAAAACCAGGCTAAAAGTTGAAAGCCTTTAATCAATGGAAAGTTTGGAGTGCCAGGTTTTTCACTGTTGTAAATGTAGATTGCATTTTTGGTAAATCATAAGCTACCTTGCCCTTAAAATTTCATAGTTTTTATTAACCTTGTGATTATTTTCCCTGCCTCAATACCAGCATAGCAGCTGCTATCTTGAGAACTGCTTAAGGAAAAATTGTTTTATGCCGTCTGAGAGCTTAGGGCCCCAGTTCTCAAATAATGCAACAAATTTCTTCCTAAATCTAGTAATGATTAAGTAGGGAAGAGGGGAGGGAGTTGGTAAAATTGTCAAAACTGAAGTATGGGTGGAAAAGGATGAGAGAAGTGAGGTTATAATGGAAATGGTAAAATTTTGTTTGTTTGTATGTACAGGAGGATTTTGCGGGGGGAGGGGGGTTGTTTTTGTTTTTTAAGCAGAGCAGATGCCTTTTTAAAGTTTTCAAGTATTACAGACTGGGTTTGTGCAGTGAGCATGTCTTATCTTTTAGTCACAGAGCCTATATAAATCCTATTCCTTATTTCTAGGTTAAATAATTCTCTTGTAGTTGAGGTGATAAGGCATCTGTACTTTGGCCTTGAAGGTTTCAAGCTCAAGAACCACTGGTGACCATGATATCTTTGGCTGCAACTTATTACATAAGCTCTGGACCTTTAGGACATAAATGGATAAGTTAAAGAAAAATAAAAATGAGGATCACTCGCAAATCAAAAAGTATATCTTGGGTTACATATGGTTATGGGCCTTTGAAACCAAATATAGCTGGGATACAGGTTGCAAATTTATTTTGCAGAATAACTAAATTGTTAGCAATAACCTATCATGAATAACATTGATGTGATTCAAATCGCCTCTATTATTTAGCTGTGTTAATCTATCCTGTTGTCTCTGCTTTGCTACTGTTGTTGTATAAAAATGCACTTGCATTCAAATGCATTTTTCTTATTGCAAAAGATCTGATGAAGAAAACCCACCTCACTGGCCCAGGGTTTTAGGCACATTAAAGATAGCAAGCAGCTGAAGAGTTGTCCATTTACATTTTGCTTTAGACTGTATTGCTCTGTATAATTTACTTACAAAAGCAATATTTTACTATATAGTTTTTTGGTTCCAAGTTTCATCTTTATCTGTAGTTTATATTGTTAAATACAAAATCCTCCCTGGTCAATTACTTCATCCTTTGCATTTATTATACCTTTTATCCTAAGCACTTAAATTATCACCCTCCTTCCAGTAAAGTCAGTGTTATATAGAGATGACATAACAGTACAAATACTTGCAATAAGCCATAGTAGTGGAAAGCATAAAAAAGATTTGCATGAGTCTGGCTGTGTGAAGAGCTGATGGCAGGGGTAAAAGATAGATTAGGTCAAATCCTGTAGTTTTTAAGTAACAGAACTGTGTTAGACTTCTGTGGAACTAAGGCCAGATTTTTGAATGGCAGCATTTGATCATTTGATCTTGCAAGCCAAACTGCCCTGAATAGTTCCATAATTTAGCAAAGATTAAGGACATTCTCAATCCCCTATCTCCATAAGATTTTCTGCCCCCTCCGCTTCATCCCAAATATTGCTGGATTGCAAAGATGATGCCCTTCAATTTAACATGATAGAAATGTCAAACTATCTAAAATTTACTTGAGACCAATGGTCAATGATGGCTGGATTTTCAAACCAAGAAAAAATATTGGTTAAGCAGTGGATTAAACCTAACAGCTTTTATTTTCATAAATTTTGCTTACACTTCTATGGTTGTAAGAGTTGGATAGATATCTGGTGGTCAGTATTGAGCTTTTTTTTTCCTTGAAAGAATATAACTTTAGTTAACTTTTAGAATTTGCCATTGTTAAAGGGACCTTATTTACTCTTATCAGCCTGTTTTTGTATGTCTTTGGAAAATGTCCCAAGAGCCATCATCAGGGATCCAGGTTTTCTGTTTCCCGTGGAAAAATGGAAAAAAAAATGCAGATGTCTCATTTTACCAGAGGAACCTGTGGATTTTGAAGTTTTGCAAAGAGCTCTCTGCAGGCTGGCAGAGTTCCAGCCTGTAAGGGGCTCTGGGGAGCAGGAAGAGGGCTATCAGGCAGGGGGCGCTATGTGTGTATATATATGCATATGGCTGCCAGGCAGCCTGGAGAGTAACTTCTGCAGGTAAGTTGGGGGAGGGAAGAGGAGGGGATTGAGGCCCTACAGGGAGGGAAGGAGTTGGGCAGAGCAGCTGGGTGGTGCATGGGGCTTGGCGCCTGGGACTGCAATACGCAGCTGCTGGGCCCCAATGGGGGGTGGGACAGGACTGTGGGTGGCTCGTCTGGGGGGCAGGGGCTGGCATTCCCTGGCACTGTGTGCTCTCCTGGGGTGCAGGAGGGAACCCATGTCCCCCAGGTCTGTGCATGAGGCAGGGACAGAGGGCTGCCCACTGTAGGCTTGGCCCCCCTGCCCTGCTGCCCTCCCCTGGGGCCTCCCCAGCTCAGTGGGTGCAAACCAGCACTGCAGGAAACAGTGGGGCTGTGTGGAGAAGCTCCTTGCTGCTTCAAGTCCTGCACTGCCCTGGAGAGGCATCCCTTGCCTGCATGGCACAGCTCTGCACTGCCACCCCTGCTGCAGCCGTACGGGCAGGGTTGCCTTGCTATGGCGGCACAGAGCTCGCAGCAGCAAAGAGCTTCCCCTTGTAGACCTGCTGTTCCCTGCACGCTGGGTCCCACCTGCTGAGCTGCTGGGGCCCCAGGGGAGGGCAGCAGGACAGGAAGCTGGGCCCAAAGCAGATAGCCTGCTCCTACCCTGCACACAGATCTGGGCAGCACA